CCCCCGCCCTGCTGCCATGCATCCTGAGCACATCACAGTCTTCCTTTCCCCTCTGAGGAGGTGCAGCTCCGAGCTCCCTGCGAACACCGCACCTTCCCGAGGAGAAAACCCTGCAGCCTGCCTTCCAGCTTAAGAATCCAAGAGCAAAACCACCCAGAGCAACCCCCCGGCCGAAAGAGAGCTTCGAGCTCAACAGCCGGCGCTTCTCCCAGGTGAGTGGCTCCCTCAGCAAACCGGAATGCATGAATGGGAGCAGGGCTGGGGCTGGGGCTGGGGTCAGGGCCAGGGGATGAAGCAGGACAGGGTGGCAGGGGGTTGCTGTGGGGATGTGCCTGGGCACAGCAGGGAGAGCTCTCACCCTGCTCAGGACAGGGAACTGCCCAGAGGTGACTGGGTGCAAAGCAGGACTGTGTTTTGGGCTGGGGGCCCAGAACAGAAGTGCCTGGTGGGCAGTTAGAGGGAGACAACCTTGCCACAGGACCTGAGCATGAGTGGGGAGCGATGGGGAGAGCAGTGCTTGCCCTCCCAGCATCACACTTGGGCCCCAAAGCAGTGGCTCTGCTGATGAGCACTTGGTCACTGCCGAGCTCAGCTGGGCTGGAATCCCTGCCCACTGCAGGTCCCTGTGCCCTGAGCTTGGCTCTGGCACAGAGATGGGTCAGTGCTGGGACACGGGGCAGATCTGTGCTCCTCCTGGGGCCGTTGTCGTGGGGGGACTTGGCTGGGAGGGAGCTGGCTGCAGGCACCAAGTGGGAAATGGAGATGCCCTCGCACTTGACAGAGCAGGGAGCCCTGCCAGGGGCTGCTATAGCAACACAACGATGGCTGAGTTCACCCCTTTGGGCTTGGGAATGTTCAGCACAGGCACACTGGCTTCCTTGCTTTCAGCTTGTATTCCCCTTCCCAAGAGCAAGCAATGGGCTGGGCTGCAAAGGATCCAACAGCATGAGGGATGAGGATGCCTCCAGCCAGGGGGCCTGGGGGCCTCTCTGCCCTGGTCCTCAGGACTGGACAAACCCAGCTGATAGCACAGTTATGGATTCAATGCTCCTGACAGGCACTGATGGGGAAAGGCAAAGCCAGTCCCTGGAAAGCGCCTGTTCTGCCCTGCTGGTAGTGGAGGGACTGCAGGTCCCTGCTGTGCTGTGCCCATGATCCTCCCCAGAGCAGGCAGGACTTGAGAGCTGTCCAGAAGCTGCTTTGCAAGGAGCAATGCAGCTTTCTCAGTGACCCCTTGCCTCCGCCTCCCTTGTGCAAAGCTTCTCCCCTGCAGAGATTCCTCCCTCTCCTCCCCCTGAGGGTGCTTCCCTGATGCTACCTGGGGAGAATCCCTCCTTGAGAAGCCTCCGGCTTTGCTGTTGAGCACAACAGCAGAGTTTCCTTGGAGACAAGAGGCAGTGGGCTCCAACTGCTCATCAGTTCAAGAGGCAGTGGGCTCCAACTGCTCATCAGTTCAAGACAAGAGGCAGTGGGCTCCAACTGCTCATCAGTTCAAGAGGCAGTGGGCTCCAACTGCTCATCAGTTCAAGACAAGAGGCAGTGGGCTCCAACTGCTCATCAGTTCAAGACAAGAGGCAGTGGGCTCCAACTGCTCATCAGTTCAGCACAAGAGGCAGTGGGCTCCAACTGCTCCTCAGTTCAAGACAAGAGGCAGTGGGCTCCAACTGCTCCTCAGTTCAAGACAAGAGGCACTGGGCTCCAACTGCTCATCAGTTCAAGACAAGAGGCAGTGGGCTCCAACTGCTCATCAGTTCAAGACAAGAGGCAGTGGGCTCCAACTGCTCATCAGTTCAAGACAAGAGGCAGTGGGCTCCAACTGCTCATCAGTTCAGCACAAGAGGCAGTGGGCTCCAACTGCTCATCAGTTCAAGACAAGAGGCAGTGGGCTCCAACTGCTCATCAGTTCAGCACAAGAGGCAGTGGGCTCCAACTGCTCCTCAGTTCAGGACAAGAGGCAGTGGGCTCCAACTGCTCATCAGTTCAAGAGGCAGTGGGCTCCAACTGCTCATCAGTTCAAGAGGCAGTGGGCTCCAACTGCTCATCAGTTCAAGACAAGAGGCAGTGGGCTCCAACTGCTCATCAGTTCAAGAGGCAGTGGGCTCCAACTGCTCATCAGTTCAAGACAAGAGGCAGTGGGCTCCAACTGCTCCTCAGTTCAAGAGGCAGTGGGCTCCAACTGCTCATCAGTTCAAGACAAGAGGCAGTGGGCTCCAACTGCTCATCAGTTCAAGAGGCAGTGGGCTCCAACTGCTCATCAGTTCAAGACAAGAGGCAGTGGGCTCCAACTGCTCCTCAGTTCAAGAGGCAGTGGGCTCCAACTGCTCATCAGTTCAAGACAAGAGGCAGTGGGCTCCAACTGCTCATCAGTTCAAGACAAGAGGCAGTGGGCTCCAACTGCTCATCAGTTCAAGAGGCAGTGGGCTCCAACTGCTCATCAGTCAAGCAAGAGGCAGTGGGCTCCAACTGCTCATCAGTTCAAGACAAGAGGCAGTGGGCTCCAACTGCTCATCAGTTCAAGACAAGAGGCAGTGGGCTCCAACTGCTCATCAGTTCAGGACAAGAGGCAGTGGGCTCCAACTGCTCCTCAGTTCAAGACAAGAGGCAGTGGGCTCCAACTGCTCATCAGTTCAGCACAAGAGGCAGTGGGCTCCAACTGCTCATCAGTTCAAGACAAGAGGCAGTGGGCTCCAACTGCTCATCAGTTCAGCACAAGAGGCAGTGGGCTCCAACTGCTCATCAGTTCAAGAGGCAGTGGGCTCCAACTGCTCATCAGTTCAAGACAAGAGGCAGTGGGCTCCAACTGCTCATCAGTTCAAGACAAGAGGCAGTGGGCTCCAACTGCTCATCAGTTCAAGACAAGAGGCAGTGGGCTCCAACTGCTCATCAGTTCAAGAGGCAGTGGGCTCCAACTGCTCATCAGTTCAAGACAAGAGGCAGTGGGCTCCAACTGCTCATCAGTTCAAGAGGCAGTGGGCTCCAACTGCTCATCAGTTCAAGACAAGAGGCAGTGGGCTCCAACTGCTCATCAGTTCAAGACAAGAGGCAGTGGGCTCCAACTGCTCATCAGTTCAAGAGGCAGTGGGCTCCAACTGCTCATCAGTTCAAGACAAGAGGCAGTGGGCTCCAACTGCTCATCAGTTCAGGACAAGAGGCAGTGGGCTCCAACTGCTCCTCAGTTCAAGACAAGAGGCACTGGGCTCCAACTGCTCCTCAGTTCAAGAGGCAGTGGGCTCCAACTGCTCATCAGTTCAAGACAAGAGGCAGTGGGCTCCAACTGCTCATCAGTTCTCAGTCCCTGGCTGGCTTTCAGCAAGGAATAAATAAAGAGCAGAGAGAATTGTGTTGAGGGGCCTGGGGCAGCTGCTGCTATGGGGCAGGACCTGACTCTCCTGTGCTTGTCCGGTGTCATCCCTTTAGCAGCAGTGGGCAGGGACAGGCTGTAGTGATGCCATCGCCGTTCTTCCCTCAGTCCCTGGAGGCTGGTGAACCTGGGAGAGCCTTTGCAATGGGCATTGCTAATTTGGCTGAATCCTGTCAGTCCCGGGAGGAAAGCTGACTAATTAGATTAAGCTAACCCCCCCGTGCTGCCCTGCACAGGCACCAGCATTTCAATCTCCATCTCTCACCATCTGCTCGGAGCAGTGACACTGGGTTTGTCCCAGCAGGGAGCCTCAACCCTCTGGAGCCCGGGGCTCTCCTTGCTGGCTTGGCCATGCAGCCTCTTGGCTTCCATGGGGCTGGTGATGTGCCCATCGCCTGATGTCCCTTGGTAACGACCACAGGGCCGTGCCAGTGCAGAGGGAGTGGGGCACGGGCTGGCTGCTGATGCTCTGGCCATCGGAGAGTGAAGCGCAGGGCAAGGAGCAGATGAAGGCTTCACCTGAACATTGCACTTTGTTTCTGCTGCCCCACACACCCTGCAGTGCCTTTCCCTGCCATGGCCAGGACACCTTCTCCTGGGTAGATGGGAAGATAACCCCCAGAAATCTGCAAAGAGCAGGGCAACAAGAAACTGGAGTGCAGGAGCCTTCCTTCCCCATCCTTTCCATTCAGCATCTGTTGACCGGTGTCCCTCAAACAGCCCAAATTCCACTGTTCCTGTGAAACCTCATTGCCAGGAACTAGGCATCAGTTTTGCAACACTCAACTCTCTTGCAACATATCCTGTGCTTCCTGCTCCAGCCTTGCTGTTGCCTCCACAAGCGCCCTCTCAAGTACCGCAGTGCTTGAGGCAGGCTGGAGCCTGGCGCAGGGGCCATGGATAAGAGAAAAAGCCACCTTCTTCCTCTCAGAAAGGGAACTCCAAGCCGTTGGCAGAGCATTCACCTGCAGGAGTACTTCTGAGAACGCCGCAGCAGACTGGGAACTTCCAGCTGATGCAATAGGGAACACTTACACAATGTCAGGCCAGAGATGCAGAGGGAATGTGCTTTGGAGGGGGCCACTGCATTGCAAAATATGCAGATGAGAGAGGGAGTAAGCCAGCAGGAGGGTGGGGAGAGCGCAGGAGCAAGCTCTGCTGCTGAGTTCCTTCTGGGGGCTAAGTTTTGCTGAGCGCTTGGTGGCACGTGGGATCCAGCCTCATCCTGAGCTTTTCCATCTCCAAAGAGACATTTCCTCTTGTCTGCACAAAAACTCCGTTTTCCAGTGCATGTGGATGGAGAAGCATCTGCAATAAAGAGCGGGTGAGTCCCTTTGGGGGGTTCTGCCCCCGCCTGCGCTCTGAAGGGATCTGTGCTTTGCTGCCTGCCCGGCCCCCGCAGACCCCTTCTCGGTACAGGCTGGGTGCTGCAGAGGCACCAGAGCAGCCATGAGGAGACCCTGGCAGCCCCTCAGATGCCTTGCCCGGGGGCTGCTCCTTGCAGAGGGGCAGAGGGACCCAGGTCTCAGGGTGCAGGGCAATGACCCCCAAGGAGGCAGCTGGGGGCTGCACCCCAACGCTTCCCCAACACTGTTCTCCTGCCCAGCACAGGCCAGGCCGAGCGGAGCCGCGGCGCGGGGACCATGGGCGAGCAGAGTCACGTCAACAGCCTCTTCCTCAACGAGGATGCAGCCAAGCGGCTGGGTGCCGAGGGCCGGGTGCAGCGCCTGCGGCAGGCGGTGCAGAAGCGCGCGGCGCGGGCCAAGAAGCGGATGCACAGCATCACTGCGGAGAGCGCCAGGAGCTTCCTCAGGAGGAACACCTTCGTCCTCTTCACCATCACTGCAGTCCTGCTGGGTACGGAGCCGGGGGCAGGAAGGAGCGGTCGCTGTTGGGGTGCTGAGGCGCTGGCACAGGGTGCCCAGAGGAGCTGTGGCTGCCCCATCCCTGGCAGTGCTCAAGGCCAGGTTGGACACAGGGGCTTGGAGCAAGCTGCTCCAGTGGAAGGAGTTCTTGTGAGCGCAGCTACAGGCACAAGGGCTCTGCAGGCTCATCCCAACAGCTTCAGCCTGACAGGACCAGAAGGGGGAAGTGATGCAAAGGGCTGTGGTACAATGCAGACTAAATCTGCCCAGCAGATAGTGCCTTGTCCCTAGCTTTTGATCCTGGCTGTGTGTCTCCAACTCACTGACCAAACTCAGCTTTAAGAGTGGGTGGACAAAGGGTCTAAAGTGTGCAGTGACACCTGGGCTAGGGTGGGAGATCATAGCTCTGGTCACAGCATCTTTGTGTTCATGAGCTTCCGGGGAACAGAACCCAGAGGGGAGCAGGCAGAGCAACAGGGAGCCCTTCAGCATGAGGCTCCTGTACATGTAAGCATGGCACAGGGAGAGAGTGAGCCCAGAGTAAAAACTGGATCACAGCCTTTTAGAGAGAGAGCATTTACTCCTTTGGGGAGAGGAGGAGCTGAAAGGGGACAAGAAAGAGCAGAGCCATGCTGCAGGGCTGAGGGACAGAGCCCTGGCTCACACTGACCCATTTCCATTCTCCTCCTGTGTTGATCCACAGGGATCATCCTGGCATTCTCCCTCCGGCCCTACCAGCTCACCTATCGCCAGATCAAGTACTTCTCCTTCCCCGGCGAGCTGCTGATGCGCATGCTCCAGATGCTGGTTCTTCCTCTCATCGTCTCCAGCTTGGTCACAGGTGAGAAGTGGCTTCAGCTCCTTCGAGCCAGGGCCGTGAGCAGCAAAGAGGGGTGCTTGCTGCTGGTGGAGTACCCCAGCTGGAGGTGCCTGCCTTGGCTTGGCTTGGCTGCCCAAGCCTGGAGCCACAGCTGGAGAGAGCATCACTCACACTCCCACCCTGCTGCCTCAGTAGTGGGGAGGAGAAGCAGAAGGCCTTGTGCTTCCTCAGAAGACTGGGGAGGACACAGTGCCGTGCTTCCAACACCCAACACTGGAGCATTAACAATGGTTTCATCCTGTGTAACCTCCAGAGTCAACAGGTTTGTTGCCCAAAGTCAGCTGCAGGTTTCCTCCAGCCTAGGAAAGGGTCATTTGTGTCAGTCCAACAGAGCTGGAGCTGGTCACTGCCTGGAGACCCCAGCTCCCCGTCCTGCTCCTCTGTGTGCCCTGCATGCTCTGAATCATCCTCGGGCTTCCCTCTGAGATCACAGACCTCACCTCGTCGCTCTGTGTGACTCCCCAGGAATGGCCTCACTGGATGGCAGAGCCTCAGGGAAGATGGGGATGCGGGCTGTGGTTTACTACACGGTGACCACCATCATAGCAGTCTTCATTGGCATCCTCATGGTGATCATCATCCACCCAGGGAAAGGATCCAAGGACAAGCTCCACCGAGAAGGCAGGATTGAGCAGGTGCAGACCACAGATGCCTTCATGGACTTGGTGAGGTAGGTGAGCAAGGTGGTCTCGTGTTGAGATCATACCATTGAGATTACATTGCTGCATGGAACATCCTTCTGCAGTGTCACAGCTTTAGGCATTCCCTCTTAGGGAAAGAGCTTTATGGCGGGGTCTTGCCCAGCCTGCTGCTCCTAGCTCAGTCTAGCTAACTGGCTTTGCCACTCTGAGGTTGAATGCTTGGCCTAGAGCCCTTCTGTTAGAGGTATTAATGCAAGAGGCCAAGGTGTGCTCAGCAAAAGAAGTGATGAACGCTGTCAATGACTGTATGTCTTCACCAATCCACCCAGCAAAGGCTACTCTGAATACCCACCCTCACTGAGCCAAGGAAATTGAGGATGTGATGATTGCCAGGACAGGGTTCTTTGGCATTCTCACAGGATTCTGGAGCCTGCAAAGATGCAGGAGGGTGCCTGGCTCCAGGCTGCCATATTCCCATCTTCTGTCAGGCAGAAAGGGCCCCTCTGAGCTGGCATCGGGGGAGCTGTGACCTGAGGCTGCTCCAGGACAGAGGCATTGCCCAGGAAGCCCCTGTTTTCTTGCTAACCAAACAGGACAATAACTCTTCCCTTGTCTATCTCCTGCAGGAACATGTTCCCACCCAACCTGGTAGAAGCCTGCTTCAAACAGGTATGAAATCCCACTGGCCTGTCACTTCCCTTTGCGCCCTGCACCCTACACCACTGTCCAACTTTGTTCTCTGAGGGATGGAGTAGCAATTCCCTCATCCTACCTTCACCTCCCACAGTGTGACTGCTCCAGGAGCAGCCATTAGGCTCTATTACAGCATCCCCACGCAAGCTTTTCAAGCTTCTATGATCTTATGTAGCTGGACTGGCAGTGAAATGGGAGCAGATTCTCCAGGGATTTGTCTCTTCTCTAGTGCTAGTGCCCTTGGAAGCAGCCCAAAGGGTTATCAGGGAAGCCAGAATAGAAGCCAGTCCTGGCCACTTGAGATGCTCCAATGGTCTCTTTTGACCTTCAGGTCTGTGAGCTTGATGAGAGCCATATGGGGAGCTTGAGAGCAGAGCAGGGAAGGTCCCCACACAGGTCAGCAGGAACTCGCAGCGCTCTCTTTAGGAAGAGATGCAAGAGCCTGTTGTCCTGAGCTCCTGAAGCAGGGCCCAGCTGATAACGTGTGTCTTTGCAGTACAAGATGCAGTACAGCTGATAACCTGTGTCTTTGCAGTACAAGATGCAGTACAGCTGATAACGTGTGTCTTTGCAGTACAAGATGCAGTACAGCTGATAACCTGTGTCTTTGCAGTACAAGATGCAGTACAGCTGATAACCTGTGTCTTTGCAGTACAAGATGCAGTACAGCTGATAACCTGTGTCTTTGCAGTACAAGACGCAGTACAGCTGATAACCTGTGTCTTTGCAGTACAAGATGCAGTACAGCTGATAACCTGTGTCTTTGCAGTACAAGATGCAGTACAGCTGATAACCTGTGTCTTTGCAGTACAAGATGCAGTACAGCTGATAACCTGTGTCTTTGCAGTACAAGACGCAGTACAGCTGATAACCTGTGTCTTTGCAGTACAAGATGCAGTACAGCTGATAACCTGTGTCTTTGCAGTACAAGACGCAGTACAGCTGATAACCTGTGTCTTTGCAGTACAAGATGCAGTACAGCTGATAACGTGTGTCTTTGCAGTACAAGATGCAGTACAGCTGATAACCTGTGTCTTTGCAGTACAAGATGCAGTACAGCTGATAACGTGTGTCTTTGCAGTACAAGATGCAGTACAGCTGATAACGTGTGTCTCTGCAGTACAAGATGCAGTACAGCTGATAACCTGTGTCTTTGCAGTACAAGATGCAGTACAGCTGATAACCTGTGTCTTTGCAGTACAAGATGCAGTACAGCTGATAACCTGTGTCTTTGCAGTACAAGATGCAGTACAGCTGATAACCTGTGTCTTTGCAGTACAAGATGCAGTACAGCTGATAACCTGTGTCTTTGCAGTACAAGATGCAGTACAGCTGATAACCTGTGTCTTTGCAGTACAAGATGCAGTACAGCTGATAACCTGTGTCTTTGCAGTACAAGATGCAGTACAGCTGATAACCTGTGTCTTTGCAGTACAAGACGCACTACAGCTGATAACCTGTGTCTTTGCAGTACAAGATGCACTACAGCTGATAACCTGTGTCTTTGCAGTACAAGATGCACTACAGCTGATAACCTGTGTCTTTGCAGTACAAGATGCAGTACAGCTGATAACCTGTGTCTTTGCAGTACAAGATGCAGTACAGCTGATAACGTGTGTCTTTGCAGTACAAGACGCAGTACAGCTGATAACGTGTGTCTTTGCAGTACAAGATGCAGTACAGCTGATAACGTGTGTCTTTGCAGTACAAGATGCAGTACAGCTGATAACCTGTGTCTTTGCAGTACAAGATGCAGTACAGCTGATAACGTGTGTCTTTGCAGTACAAGACGCAGTACAGCTGATAACGTGTGTCTTTGCAGTACAAGATGCAGTACAGCTGATAACCTGTGTCTTTGCAGTACAAGACGCAGTACAGCTGATAACGTGTGTCTTTGCAGTACAAGATGCAGTACAGCTGATAACGTGTGTCTTTGCAGTACAAGATGCAGTACAGCTGATAACGTGTGTCTTTGCAGTACAAGACGCAGTACAGCTGATAACGTGTGTCTTTGCAGTACAAGATGCAGTACAGCTGATAACCTGTGTCTTTGCAGTACAAGATGCACTACAGCTGATAACCTGTGTCTTTGCAGTACAAGACGCACTACAGCTGATAACCTGTGTCTTTGCAGTACAAGATGCAGTACAGCTGATAACCTGTGTCTTTGCAGTACAAGACGCAGTACAGCTGATAACGTGTGTCTTTGCAGTACAAGATGCACTACAGCTGATAACGTGTGTCTTTGCAGTACAAGATGCAGTACAGCTGATAACGTGTGTCTTTGCAGTACAAGATGCAGTACAGCTGATAACCTGTGTCTTTGCAGTACAAGATGCAGTACAGCTGATAACGTGTGTCTTTGCAGTACAAGACGCAGTACAGCTGATAACCTGTGTCTTTGCAGTACAAGATGCAGTACAGCTGATAACCTGTGTCTTTGCAGTACAAGATGCAGTACAGCTGATAACCTGTGTCTTTGCAGTACAAGACGCAGTACAGCACCAGGGTGCTCACCAGAACCGTCCTGCACAGCAGCAATGTCACCGCAGGGGTGCCAAGCACTCCCAGCCCCGCGCCCGAGAACGCCACCGGCATCCTGGAGAACGTCACTCATGCCCTGGGGACCATCTCCGAGGTGCTGACCTTTGAAGAAGTCATTCCCATCCCGGGCTCAGCCAATGGGGTGAACGCGCTGGGGCTGGTAGTGTTCTCCATGTGCTTCGGTTTGGTGATCGGCAGCATGAAGCAGAAGGGACGGGCCCTGCGGGAGTTCTTTAACTGCCTCAACGAAGCCATCATGAGGCTGGTGGCCATTATCATCTGGTGAGGAGCACGGCCGGTTGGAGCAGGAGGTCTGCAGGTGCAGTTTCCACTGACCTGATGAGAAGTGGGGTTGCTTTAAGGATGCCATGCACAGGGAAAGCAGATGGGCACAGCTCTCCTTTGGCTCCATCAGGCTGGAGGGAAAAGTCTGGATGGGATATTTGTTCACATTTCATTTCCTGGTTTGTTTCGGTTTTACCTTAGAAACAGCGGCTTTACCAGGACTTGCTTTGCTTGAGGCTGCTGGAAGCATCCTTGGAAGCGCAGAGCTGGAGTGGAAGATCCCTTAGCCTCACCAACAGGGGTAGGGTGCGAGGCTTTCCCACCAATTCCAGCTGTGTTCCAGGAGCCTTAGCTAGGAATCACAGGAACCTCTTCCCACTCCCTGCTACCCAGGGTGCCGCCTGCCTGCATCAGCTCTGGGAGCTGGGCTGCATTGCCAGGGTCAGCTCCAAGTTCCTGCCCTTCAATCCGAGGTCTCCCAGATTCGGACCCCTCCAGAGCTCAGCTGCTTGCTGCCCTGTGTCAGGCTGCACACGCTACCTGGTGCTCAGCTGAGTCTTCTCTAGAAGGCAGCTTTTGACCAAATCTTGTTATTGTAAGTTCTTTCCCCACCGTACAGTCTAGATAGGAGCTTGTGGTAGGTACTGCGAGACAGGAGAGACGTGGAGCTGGCAGGGTACATGCAAATGTCTGACAGGGGACAGCGCTGTCCCCCCGCACCCTCTCCCACTGCAGATCACTCCAGCTTCCTTCCCGTAGTCTTCCAGTCAGAGCCCTGTATAGAATCATAGAACCATCTGTATCCCACAGCATCCTGAGCATGTGGGGCCAGGCCTTACACAGAAAGACACAAGGGGAGGAACAACCCTGAGCTTGTAGCAGAGCACTGGGGACCTTCTCCTGCATGGATGAGCCAGAACTTGGGGTCTGACCTTCTGAAGAAGGGAAAAGAGGGCAGGGAAGGGAGAACACGAGCGCGGTGAAACCTGCTCACTGCTCCCAGAGATGACTTCAGGTGCCTTCAGCACCCCCTCCTTTAGCACCCTCTTACAGTGAGGAAAGGCAGGCTGTGGATGCACAGAACTCGGTTACACTCAGCAAGGTGCCTGTGCCGCACAGCAGGTAGGGTCTGGACTGGTTCCTGCTGGTGCAGGGGGCAGGCTGTGGATGCACAGAACTCGGTTACACTCAGCAAGGTGCCTGTGCCGCACAGCAGGTAGGGTCTGGACTGGTTCCTGCTGGTGCAGGGGGCAGGCTGTGGATGCACAGAACTCGGTTACACTCAGCAAGGTGCCTGTGCCGCACAGCAGGTAGGGTCTGGACTGGTTCCTGCTGGTGCAGGGGGCAGGCTGTGGATGCACAGAACTCGGTTACACTCAGCAAGGTGCCTGTGCCGCACAGCAGGTAGGGTCTGGACTGGTTCCTGCTGGTGCAGGGGGCAGGCTGTGGATGCACAGAACTCGGTTACACTCAGCAAGGTGCCTGTGCCGCACAGCAGGTAGGGTCTGGACTGGTTGCTGCTGGTGCAGGGGGCAGGCTGACTGGTTCCTGCTGGTGCAGGGGGCAGGCTGTGGATGCACAGAACTCGGTTACACTCAGCAAGGTGCCTGTGCCGCACAGCAGGTAGGGTCTGGACTGGTTCCTGCTGGTGCAGGGGGCAGGCTGTGGATGCACAGAACTCGGTTACACTCAGCAAGGTGCCTGTGCCGCACAGCAGGTAGGGTCTGGACTGGGTCCTGCTGGTGCAGGGGGCAGGCTCCTTCCTGCAGCCCCCGCCTGCAGACTGGCTCCCAGGGGCTGGTTCTGCTGGGCAGAGCTGCTCTTCAGCCGCAGGCGGGGGGGAGGAAGCTCGGAGGAAATGAAACCTTTGTGAAATCCTGTCCCGAGACTTTTCCAGCGGCTGAGTTGGAGCCTGGCTTGTGGGCCCTGAGCCCTGTGCATGAGCTGCATGTGAGCTCCCGAGAGCGAGGCCACGGAGATGGGGGTTCCTCTGGCCCATGTTTAGTGCAGTGCCCATGGTATTCTCCATGCCTGTGTTATGGCTGCCCTTTGGTGGAGCCTCCCTGCTGCTCATGAGATGCATTGTTATGGAAGGGGGAAAAAGAGCCATGAGGAATGGAAAGGGTGGCTGCTTTCACAGGGGTTGGTGTGCCCAGTCCTTGCTGCCCCAGATATGGATTCTCTATATGTTCCTATTCCCTAAATGTGATTACCCAGAGCCTATAGGACACTATCTCATTTACTGCCCTGTTTCTCCTGTACCCCTGTGCTCTGTTTCAGCATTCTCACCCCCAGCTCTGTTAGGAAAGGAAGGGAGTGAGCACTCCTCTACCTGACCTCCCCTAGCAGTTCCACAGGGAGAAGGAACCCCCTGGTGCCCAAGCTGTGTGCACACCAGAGTGCGGGGTCCCTGCCAGTGCAGCAAGGGCTGGGGTTGGGTTTGACCGTGTGGTGACCAAGCGTGGTGACCTCTGTCCGTGTTCCCAGAGAGCAGCAGTATCCTCCAGTGATGGGGCTCAGAGAGCACTTGGGGTGTGCTGGCTCACGGGGGTATGCAAGCTGGTGGGGAAGGCCGGGTGCCAGTTCTGAGCATCGGCCTTGGTTCTGTGCCACAGGTACGCTCCTGTTGGGATCATGTTCCTGATCGCTGGCAAGATCCTGGAGATGGACGACCTGGCAGTGATGGGCGGGCAGCTGGGGATGTACACGCTCACCGTCATCGTTGGGCTTCTCATTCACGCCCTCTGCATCCTGCCCCTGCTCTACTTCATCGTCACCCACAGGAACCCCTGGCTATTCATTGCAGGGCTGCTGCAGGCCCTCATCACAGCCCTGGGCACCTCCTCCAGGTATGGCGGCTGCACAGGAGGAGGGTTGGGGCTGGTGGGGGTACCCTGGGGCTGCCTCTCAGTGCTCCATTGCCCTCCAGTTGTGGTCTCACCGTTCCCAGCACCAGCAGCTCTTTGCACTGCTCCAGGCAAGCTGATGTGAGAGTGGAGAGATCCCCAGTTCCAGCTCAGGGGTCAGTTATGGCTCAGCACCTCTAACCATCAATGCACGGCCATATTCCTCCTTCCCAAACACGGTGGTGACTGGGGCACGGGAACGCTGAGCTCAGTGTTTCAAACCTCACATCCCCCCGACGTGCTGCATTGTTCCACACACACATACACATACCCCACACCTGCACTCATACACATGAGCACGTTTCTCTCTCCCAGGCTCACACAGTGTATGCAGCTGCATTAAACTCATGGGAGGCACTGGCAAAGGCACAAACTCCAGTATATTCAGTGTCATGGTGCCATGGAATACAAGAGCAAGGGACTGCAGGTAGCTGCTGTGTCACTAAGCCTCTGTTTCTTGCTATATTCCCTTCCTGGCAAGTAACAGTCTGTCTCCTCCCACTGAAGCGCAGCAGTGTTGCTGCTCATGCTCTCTTTCAGAGACAATTACCTGCACTCTCCCCAAGATGTGTTCCCACACACGAGTCATTCCTGTCTTAGGCACTGAGGGGCGTGAGCAAGGGCTCAGAGGAGTTCTGGTCTCGAGGCTCTGTCCCGTGTACCCTGAATCCTTGAGCATCACCTTCTTTTGGTGCGATCCCAGCACCCCCAGCCTCGGGGTCACACAGCCCCTGAGGAAAGCCATGTCTGAACATGCAACTGCAGCCTGCTCCCTGTCTGAGGAAGCCTTGCTTAGACTGTTCTTTCTCCTAGCAGCTTCTGGCCTCTGGCTCACATGGCAGGGTGAAAACGCAGGTGGGTAAGGTCTTAAACCAGGCAGAGGCTCAGCCCCTCCTCTGAGGCCAGCACGTACCCAGTTCATGCTCTTGTGTCCATTCCTTTCAGCTCAGCGACTCTGCCCATCACCTTCAGGTGCCTGGAAGAAAACAATGGCGTGGACAGGCGCATCACGAGGTTTGTCCTGCCCGTGGGAGCTACGATTAACATGGATGGCACTGCTCTGTACGAGGCCCTTGCAGCCATCTTCATTGCACAAGTCAACAACTACGAGCTTGACTTCGGGCAGATCATCACAATAAGGTGACTTTAAAAGGAGGTTTGGAAGTGCTTCAGTTTGGTGCCTTATGTGAGGTATGGTTGGGTTCCTCTTGTGCTCAGAAGATACAGTGGGGCACTACCCCTCCCCTTGAGCCCTTACTGTATTCCCAGGCCTGGCCATCCCTTAGCTAGAGCTGCAGTGCGCAGTCTGTCATGCCCGGGTGCCTGGCAGGAGGAGCCTGGCTCCTGTGCTCATGCCCCCGTGTCACCACCCTGCTCGGTGACACAGGAAGGCTGCCAAAGCGCTCTGCAGGCGATGCCTTTGAGCTGCTTCTTGATGCTCCTGCAGCTGTGACCACCTCTTCCCCTTGCTGACAGCTGTGCTCTCCTGTTCCCTCCAGCATCACTGCCACAGCAGCCAGCATTGGAGCCGCAGGCATTCCCCAGGCAGGACTGGTGACAATGGTGATCGTGTTGACATCAGTGGGGCTGCCTACTGAAGACATTACACTGATCATCGCTGTGGACTGGTTTCTGTAAGTTCTCTGCTCAGTGCTGATGGGGTCCCTCTGTACTCCCAGGGTCTCTGCTAAAAGCGGGTTCTATAACTGGTATCATTAAGCTTAAACCACACTTGTGTCCATGGCACCGCTGCTGGAGTCTCCACCGTGTATTTCAGTGACCCAGGGCATCAGCCTGGTCACCCAGCACCATGTCCTTACTTTGCTTTAGCCTTAAAAGGCACCCAGAAACTGTGCAGCCAGCAGGGACGGGTTGTGCCGATAATAACTGAATTCTCAGTGCAGAGTGGTGGTTCTGTGCCATCAGACATGGGAAGTGTGAGGAGACAAAGCTGAGGAGTGCTTAGATGGGTGCAGCGCCTCAGCTATTCTGCTCCATCCCAGCTCTCCTGCCCATTTAGGCCTTGGGATGATGTTTTCATGGGGCTGTTATTAGATTGAGATTGAAGCCATTTGTGCAGTCCCAAACACAACAAAATCCTGGCTCCGGGCTGCCCTGTCCGTGTTTCCTCTCTTCTCTACCTTGTATTGCTGGTCTGTAGCCAGTAGAGCAGGAGGGAATATTGCACTGGGAGCAATGGAGCAGGAAGCCCTGTGCAGCCTGTGCCCAGGGCAGGCTCTCTGGGGGTCAGGCTCCTGTCAGTGCTCAAGTGCCGGGTACCAGAGTGACTCCCAGGTCTCCCTGGGGGTGTCCTTGGGCCAGACCCCATCCCCGTGGCTCCTCCTGAGCAGCTCTGTTGTGTTTCTCTCTCTGGCTCCCCAGGGACCGCCTCAGAACCACCACCAACGTCCTGGGGGACTCCCTGGGGGCCGGCATCGTGGAGCACCTCTCCCGGCACGAGCTGGACGCGCAGGACTGCGAACTCGGTAACTGGGAGCCAGGGGAAGGGCAGCTCCCCCCAGCTCTGCCCAGGGCCCCAGAGCCGCAGGCACCCAGCGGGGAGGCAGGGCACGGGTGCACATCAGTGCTCTAGGAAGGCAGGACGTGAAAGGGGCGCCCATAGTGGAGGACAGAGAAGGACCCAAGATGCACGCTCTTGTGCCACACGCAGCCTCCCCTGGCCCCTTTCTCCCCATCTCTTTCTGACTGGCATTAAAGAGGAGAACATTAAACTGCAAAGAAAGATTCATCCCCCAAAACCCTGATTCAGTCACTTAGGGGTCCAAGAGCTAGCCTGAGTCAAGGAGACCCCGTGAATGAGCTGCATTAGGAGCTCCTCCATTTCTGAGCTATTCTGAGCACAGCAAACTGGCAAGGCGGGTTGGGGGCACCACCATGTGTGGACCAGCACCAAAACATTGCCATGATGGCTCCACCTCTCAGGATACAGCTGCAAAGCCCTCGCTTGGTCAGTGCCTTCTCCCAAACACATGAGAGCATTTAGCACACCTGGAGATGGGTGGAGAGCCTCAGCACTCCTGTTCAGCCCTTCACTGGCAAGAGTGTTTATGGAAGCACAGCGTTCTCCTTGCTCACAGGCCTGTTGGTTGCACAGATTGTGCTTCCTGAGAGCTTCCCACTCCTCTGGAAACCCTTCTGGCTGCAGATCCTGACCAGCCAGCTCCTGAAGGAACATACAGCAGGGACAGGGCTTCCTGGGTTGCCTGGCAGCAAAAATAGGGGTCAATAGGCTTTTGAGTAGTGGAAGCTGCTGAAGGACTGTGAAAGCAGCAAACCATTACAGAATTCATTCTATCCCATTACTCAGCCTCTGAAACAGCTCTCCCTTCTCCCAGGTGCCAGTTAACTTCACTTCTCTTTAGGAAGCTGCTCTCCCCTTGGTGGAACCAGAAGGAGAGATGCAAAGCTGAGGGAGAGTCTGCCCCCGTCAGCGGCTGGGTGGTACCCCCATCCCTGCCGGCCCCAGACCTGCTCAGCACTTCCACCCTCATCCTGAGACTCTTGAGGAAACTGTTCCTTTGCTCACCTCTGGCTACTGCCAGGAGTGAATTCCCTTCAGTCCCACTGCTCCAGAATGTGCTTCCAAACCCCTCTGTCTTTCTGCAGCTCCTCAGCTTTAAGAGGCAGGGCCCAGCCAGTTCGCAGCACCGGTACAAGTTTGCCAGACCCAAAACATATACATTCAGGATAAATTCCTCAGTTCCTACCAAGTGGAGCTCAGCTGCAGTTTAACCCACTTGGAAATAAGCCCACGTGATGACTGAAACACCTCAGAGCCTCAAGCAAGAAGTAGGGACCTGCTTCATTCCTGCTCTGTGCCCCTTGCCTGGCGTGGCCAGGATCACAGCCTGGATCTCACTCCAGTGAAGGGGACCAGCAGGGCTTGCTCCATGGACACCCAGAAGATGCGTGTCTGGGCACAGCCAGGAGGGTGTAAAAGAGCCTGTTTTGGGGTTACTGCAGTGTAGCTCTCCTGCTTCAGAAATGGCTGAGCTCAGAACCAGCAGCAAGCAGCCTCCTGCTGCACAGCTGAGCTGTCTGAACTGGGCAGCTTTTACTTGAGGTCTGCTCATTATTCCAAAGCCAGCATCTCACTGAAACCCTCTGCCCTCGCTTTCCACACTGATCCTTTCCATCCAGAAGGCCTGTCCATACCCCCAGAGGTGCACCTAAGTGGGTCTCACTTGGGAAGGAAGACCTCAGAGGTAAGAGCTGGAGTCAACTTTGCCAACCACAACCACACAACGGCACCACCACCACTTCCTAAAACACATCTCTTGAGATGTCCAAAGCCAGACCCTGAGGCTCTTTCTGGTCCTTCGGGATTCTGTATCGGTGCTGCCACACTCCCCATGGGCAGGATGACTGCTGTGAGGTAAATGCACAAGTGCATCCCTTTCACATGAATGGCAAAGGCAAAGGCAAAGTAGGAGTTGGCCTAAGGCAGGAGGCTGCTTCCTGACTGTGGCAGGTAGGCTGCTTGCTCTGAGAGGAGCTCTGCTCTAGCAGGGGAAGTGTGCAGGATCACGAATCACTGTCCTCCTCTGTGCAGCACTTTTTATCTTGTGTGAATACTTTTATAATGTCTGCTCTTCTCCTTTCTAGACTAAACAGAGCCCACATACCCTCACAGGTAACAACATCCCTCTCCTTTGGACCTTCTCCTTGCTGTTCCACATCTTTTTTAAAGTGGAGTAACCAAACTTTGACACAAGAACCCAACTAAAGATTTCTCAGTGCTGAGACTGTTTCATGTACCTGTAGATGTAGCTCTTAGACTCAAGTTCCCATAGTTCAACAGCATGCCATGCATCAGCTGCTCAGGATAACTGTCCATGATGCATACTTACAGCAAATCCAAGTCTGTTCATCTTGCCTTGAACCTTAGTGAGGTTAGACTCTTACTTTGATGAGATGGCTCTATCTAAAGACTGGATCTTAATCAAAGAGATTGGAGATACATTGCACTAGCTTGTATCTACAGTGGGCTCAGGCAGCACTAGCTTCTCATTCACACAGCTCAGCTGACGTGAGTCTAAACCTTCCTAACGAACAGACTTGCTTCTGAAACCCAACCAAGAGCTTTCCTTTTCCACAACAGCATGATAACATTGACTGCTCTCCAGTGGAATACATGACGATCCCTACATCATTTTCAGCAGCACTGCTGCCTAGCCAGCACCTCCCCAGCCCGTGCTTGTGCAGTTGGTTACTGTCAGGAATCCGGACTGAGCCACATTGAACCACAACTCGCTTTTCTCTTCTTTCTTTCCAGACTATTTGTCCAACTTTTCAAGGAAGCGTTGATTCTGACCCCGAGGAGACTTCCTGTGTGTGAAGGGCAAACCAAGAATCGGAAGACACGGTTGTTGGGTTGGACTCTAGCTCAAATGGAATGGATTCTGGGAAGTCCTACGGCTTGGGTTACACAGACAGCTGAACTAGATGAACATAAGGGTCCCTTCTGGCTTTATAATATATGCACGTGCTTTCTGGTTTAGAGATATTGCAAAGGGTCCTTCCCCTGATCATGTTTAGGAGCTACCTGGAAGGATCCTAATGATACTTTAAGAAACTCAGCAGGAGTCTAAGCTGTGTTCAGTTGCTGTTAGCAGACATGCAAGCATATGACAAAAGGGGCTCTCCATCCCACGCTGCATCACCATGTTCCCACAAAGTAGCACCCTCCCAGCCTTGCCATTGGTGATTTCCTGCTTTCAGCACAAGATTAGGGGAGCACAACCAAGCAGGGGCCTCATTTTCAATGACTGCAACCCACTGTCCCATGGGGAATTTCAGAACTCAGCCGATAGTTTTTAGCTGTGGTGCTTGCCCGTGTTGTTAACCCATTTCTGATTGGGATTGTCTGCCTGTTTACAGTACCCCAGCAGTAAAGTGTTGTCAGGAATTTGCATATATATATATACACACATATACACACTCCTCTTTATATATATGTATGGAAGGGACACGTGCACAGACAGATGTACACACAGAGTTAACTGGTTTGTGGCTAATCCAAGAAGGAAAGGCAACAGTGAACTCCCAGGCTGTAAGGCTGCATATCTCACTGCAAAGCCCACCTCGGCTCACCCAGTTAATCCCCTCCTAAAGCAACAGAGGCAATTTTACTTCATCCCAGTAGTGAGTCCAAAGCTCACCAGGAAGGAGCTCAGCGCACACTGCTTTCCAGGTGTATTTGCTGCTGACCCAGGGACTTCTCCATGGACAGAGAAACATCTCCACTTTGACTCCTGTGCCCGTGTTCCAAGGAGCTCCACGCTCCCTGCATCAGAGCTGGCACAGAGGCAGGCTTGCAGAGATCAATACGAGTACATTTGTGCTCCTTCCACACCCAGTGCTGGCCTGGTTCTAACTCAGCCTTCAAAACCCCATAACTGAAAGTATTAAATCATTGGATGAGCCGTTTAAATGGTCAGGTAGGTGAGTTTGTGCATCTTTCCTGCTGCTTCCACTTTTGAGTTTGCAAATGGATTTATCCCTAATGAGTAGATGGGCAACCCTTGGGATGAAGCAGCCAACTCAGTGCATACATACATGAGGAGCTCTTGGATTAGGACCTGCCTCTTCCAAATGAGCTTTGAGAGAGACAGCCCATGGAGAAGATGGGTGTCCCCGCGATGGGCCGCGTGTCCCGTTACAGCTGGGGGTGTGCACAGTGCTTGGGGCGGCGGATCTGCCCCTGAACACTGCCCTGAGATGGGATGTGCAGGAGCTGGGGACGGAGATGGGTTCACTGCTCCCGGGTGCTTGGCTGTGTAATTCCCGAGGGCTCTTCCTGCCTGCTCCGAGTGCCGGTGTTCCTCAAGAGCATTCGCGTATTTGAACAATAAAGGGAATTCTTTTCCACAGTGCTTTTCCATGACGGCTTTTTCCTATTGCTTTCCCTGGGGACCATGACCTTACCCAGTGAGGGCCGGCGCCCGCAGCATGATGTACGGCATCGCTTATCTGCACGGGCTGTGCGGGTCACACACTGAATTCTGATTCTCACAAGGCCTTTCCCTAGCGCTTTTGTCTGCTGCTGCCTTCTGCGTTCGTCAATAACCGGAGGCCACGGCACCGGCTGCACCCAAAGAAACGCTCCTGGGGACGGTGACCGAGCGGCTGCCGAGGGAGGGAGTGGAGCCTCCGCTCATGGAGATGACCCGAACCTGCCCGGCTGCAGCCACCCCCCGGTGACCGCCGGGACCTCGCTGCGCGGCGGCTGCGGCAGCGCCAAGGACGGCACCGCGGGACCCCCCCAGCGGGACCCCCCCAAACCGGACCCCCCCCGAGGGGCCCAGCGCGCTCCCCGCACGCAGCCGCTCCCCCCTGCCCCAGCCGGGACCGGAACCTGCGGACAGCGCCCCGCAGCGGCCGCTCCGCGCAGCACCACCCGGGGCCGCCCTGCGGGGGCCACGACGTGCGCGCAGCCACGCACCCGCCGTGCCCCGCGCCTGCGCGCTGCGGCGGGACGGAAGTGGCGGCGGGGCGCGGGAGGGCAGCATGGCGGCCGCCCGCTGCTTGCGGCTCTGCGGGCGCTGGCGGCCGGCGCTGCTCGGCCCCGCGCGGCGCCGCCTCTTGGCGGCCGCTGCCTCCGCCGCTCCCGCCCCGGCCCCGCTGGGCTCCGCGCCGCCGGCCCGCGCCGCCTTCAGCACCGCTCCGCTATGGCAGCAGCGCAGCCCCGGCGGGCTGGCGGGGGGGGACGCGATGGAAGGAGGCGGCGGGGAGGAGGGCGGTGGCGGCGGGGGGGAGGCCGGCGGGGCCGGGCCGGTTATGACGGCGCTGACGCCCTTGATGGTCCCGGAGCACTTCCCCAACGTGCCGCTCATCGCCGTGACGCGGAACCCCGTGTTCCCGCGCTTCATCAAGATCATCGAGGTGAGGGCCCGGGGCTGGGTCGCCGCTGGCGGCCGGGGGAGGCTCGGAGCAGAGCGGTGGGGCCGGCCCTGGGGTTTCGGGGTGCGCTGCTCCCAGCGCCCGGCCCTTTGCAGGCCCCTCGGGGTCGCAGCGCGCTGGGGAGGGCCCTTGGCTGCGCCGCGGCCGCGCTCTGCAAGCCGAGCCCGGGGGGGTCGCGGCTGCTCCGGGCTCCGCGTTTCACGGGTGTTGCATCAGAGCCGCGGTTCGCGCACACGCGCGGTCAGGGCCTGCAGCCCTGTGGTGCTCAAGGCCGAGCAGATGTGTCCTTGGTGCAGCCGCGGGGGCTCGGGTCACGGCTCCAGCGATGGCATTCGTGAACGGGGGGAGCCTGGCGCTGGTGTGGGGCAGCGCTGCCGTGGGGATGGAGGTCTCGGAGCGTGGTTCCCCCCCCGCACCCCGCTGTGGCTTTCAGGAGCCCTACATTTCTGTTCTCTGCCGTTGTCTCTGTACGGGACTGGAACTGCCAGGCCCAGATCCCTTCTCCCCCTGAAAGGCAGCTGTGTAGCAACAGGTACTCGTAGTTTTACATCTCAGCCGCATTGCACCGAGCTCACTGGGAGTCAATGGAGCGGGAGCTGAATCAGGATCTTCCCGGTCCTGCACTGTTATTTATTGTGATGGTACTCCTGACGGTACTTCTCTGCATGTCTGGACCGAGTTTGTGCAACTTTTAGTGCCTTTATAGATGTGTTGGGTGAGGAAAATGTTAAATACGAAGATGCTCTTCAGGCACGGCTCATGACACTTTCACGTACAAGTCATTGATTTTAAGTGTGTCCTACACTGGGATAATCGTTAAGTGCTTTCTCTTACCCTGTGAATTCACTGTGCTGCCATTTGGTACTTTATTTCCTGGTAATACACAGTCTCTCAGGTGAATGTGGAACTCTGTTTTCTCTTAATGCCTCTGACACGCAAAGCACGGTGCTTTTAGGCATTAAAGCAGGTGTGCAAGACGAGGAGAGGCCAACAGCAGTGGTGCTGCTGCTGCTGCTGCTCTGTCAGGATCATCCTGTTCACTGTCAAAAGCTGCTGCGAGGGCTGGAGCAGCTCTGCTCTGGAGCCAGGCTGAGAGAGCTGGGCTGGGGCAGCCTGGAGAAGAGAAGGCTCCTGAAGGGGAGACCTGAGAGCAGCTCCAGTGCCTAAAGGGGCTGCAGGAAACCTGGAGAGGGGCTTGGGACAAGGGCCTGTAGGGCCAGGCCAAGGGGAATGGCTTGAACCTGCCCGAGGGGAGACTGAGCTGAGCTCTGAGGCAGAAGCTCTTCCCTGTGAATCAGGCAGGGCTTCCCCTTACACACAGAGGGTGCAGAGCTTACAGAAACAGATCCCTGATTTCATATCTGTTGTTGTCCCAGGTGAAAAATAAGAAGCTGGTTGAGCTGCTGAGGAGGAAGGTTCGTCTCGCCCAGCCGTATGCTGGTGTTTTTCTTAAAAAGGATGACAAGTAAGTAGTTCCTCTTGATCCTTTTAAAAAATAAGCTATTTCCATGGCTAGGCTGCACTTACACAAAAGGCTGTGATCTGAATTTCCCTGCCTTGGGTAGGATTACAGGAATTGTGATAGGGTTGGACCAGCCTGTCTCTTGCTATGACAGTTTTCATTGCCACCACCAGCACTGCAGGAGCTTGAGTCTTGCTTTAGAAAAGGGGGGAGCTGAACCTGTGGCAGGGGGGGTTGGAACTTGGTGATCTTTAATGTTCCTTCCAACCCAACGCAGCTGTGATTCTGTGGCTGTCCAGGCTGGTGGCTGGCTTGGAAAGGGACTGCATGGCAGTGACCGTCAGGGTAAAGCGCAGTGTCCCTGCTCCTGAGGCCAGCTTAGATTCCTCCAACCAGTGAATGCTTCGTACCTGCTTCCTCAGGAGTCTGAATATCTCCTCCATTTCCTTTCCTCAACAGCAATGAATCTGACGTGGTTGAGGATCTGAACGAAATCTACCAGATGGGAACGTTTGTGCAGATTCATGAGATGCAGGACCTCGGCGACAAGCTGCGTATGATAGTCATGGGACACCGAAGGTAAGTGCTTGTATTACCACTGCATCTCACCAGCCTCCCAGTGCCTAAAGGTGTATTCTTTTTACCATTAGAAATCTGGTTTTGTGGTTCTCCACCTGGTTTAAGCCAGCAGCTTATAATAAAGGTGCACTCAGCTGCCCTTGGCCTCTCATTCACCCCCAAGAGGCTAAATCAGTGCTCAGTTAACTTTTCTTCATGGCAGCTTACTCCCTGTAAATTCTCTTTGTAAGTCCTGTCAGGGCCTACCACTTGGTTACTACTTGTTTACTAAATCAAGCCTTATTTTGAGTAAAAGACCAGCAGCTCCATCTTGTCAAAAACTGCACGACGTCACCTTTGTCAAAGGTTGAAATTTGACTTGAGATACAACTTAGGCTCTTTTCATGCTGAAGAGCTGAAATTGCACATAACAGAGGGGCATTCACTGTACTGGTTTCTGTTGGGTTTCAGGATTCGTATAAACAAGCAGCTAGAGGTTGAGCCTGAGGAGCCTGAGAACAAACAGAAACGAAGGAAACAGAAGCGCTCCAAGAAAGAGGCTGAAGAGGAGCCTGGAGCAAAGGACCAAGCAGTGGAAGTGGTACTAGATCCTGTAGCTGCTCCCTCGCAGGAAGTTCTCATGGTGGAAGTAGAGAATGTGGTTCATGAAGATTTTCAGATCACAGAAGAGGTTAAAGTGAGTGAATTAATGCTACAAGCCTGAGCTTGGCCTGTAGAGCTGCACCTACGTTTCTTGCTTGAAAGGAAAAGTTCTGAAATCAGGCTCTAATTTCACAGTTCAGAAACCCTTCCTTTCTCCTAGGGTCACTGCGTGAGGGCCTTCCATGAAAATAGGGATTTATTTCATGACAGCAACTCAGTTCCTTAGAACTGATCACTTCCAAAGGTTGCTGAATGAAGAGGCTGGGCTGGGCTTTAGCCTGTGTCATCTCCTTTGGCAGACTGAGTCTTTGCTCCAGGCGACCTGAGTGGTCACCCTGAACATATCTTCTGGCCAGGAACCAGCT